CGTGTGACGTATGAATCAGATTGTGTGGAGACGGAGGGCGTGGTGCTGTACAAGTCGATAATGCTGAGCAACAACGAGCGCACGCCGCAGGTCATCCGCAACGCCATGCTCAAGTTGAACCTCGACGGCGACCCCGACGCCTACACGCTTGCACAGGTCCTGCCAGATAGAGGTTAGTTAACTTCATACAATATAGCTAAATTTTAAGTTGATAAAATATAATTTTTCTCAATCTTGTTGATTAATTCAATAGTATTTTTTTTCTTTTATAGTTTTAAAAAAGTAATAACGAAAATGTAGGTAACTTGTACACTTTTTTGACAAATTAATGATATTTGTTTCAGAAATGGTGCTCCCTGCTAATGCGAATGTGTACTACGCAGTAAACACAGCATATAATCTCAATTTCATACTGCGTCCACGTAAATCACAGCAAGCAGAACCTGTAGCTAACGGCAAACCAAAAAACAAACGAAATTGAATACAAAAAACGAAGCAAAAGAAGCATGAATATTTCACAACAATCCTTTTCGACCGAAACAAGAATAACATTAGAGCGCAATGATACATCTTGTAAATTACATAAAGTGACATCAAATAATCTTAAGGCTCAGACTATGCTTCGTGCAAACAATATACCTTAATTAAGTGAACTTTGAAAGTTACGGAATATTCTTAATAATAGAGATTATTCCTAGTATTTTTCATAATATGTCGAGAGGTACTAATTTGTGTGTAAAAACCATCTCAATGAGTCGCCACAGTCTATGGATTTGAACTGTAGTGATATATTGTCGTCTCTTACACTCTCTTTGAATAAACAGAGACAACAATATGCGTCAATAAAAATTCGCGTATTTCATCGCTTTGTAAATCTAAATGTACCACCTTTAAGATATTAAATATTACCTATAGTGTGATATTATTCGAATATTAAATATTAAATGAATCTGTGTATATATTGAATGTAAATGTGTTATAAGAATCTCATGTAGTTTATGAATGTAACGTAGCCAAAGGCAAATTAACTATGTGCTAGGAAGGTGCTGTCTCGTGTTTGTAATCTGAATGTTTAAATAAAGCTTTAAAACTAAACATAACAAACCGAATTTCTTAAATGATCTTTCGAAGTGTCTACGA